TACTGCTCAGTATAATATTTCTATTACTGATGACTTGTTTTCAGGTTTTAGCATTATTGATAACAACTATGCACCTGTTTTTTAGGTTGCTCAAGTTACTGCTGTAGATCCTGATTTGAATAGCCCGCTGACCTCCAGAATAACATACAGAATAACTGCTGGAAACATTAATAACATTTTCACAATAAAATGTAGGTTTAAACATTTATAATTGTCTTATTTTTCATGTCTGTTACGTTTTTTTAGTTATTTATTTGTCTTTTTATGAAAAATGTTATCTAAATAAAGAGTTTATGTTGTCTCTTTTCTGGAACACAAATTAATTTTGGTAAAATAAAAATGTGTTTTGTTTTACAGCTGACAGTGGCTATGTCCACACGGCCAAGTTGCTTGATTTTGAGACAATGAGGGCGTTCTCACTCCAGATTGAAGCCGCTGACGTTGATGGAAGGCTTGGCTTTGCTACACTTAATGTAACGGTACTAGATGTTAATGATAATGACCCTGTGTTTCCCAATGGTCCTTATGAATTTTCTTTTCCAGAAAATGTTGGATCTGGTAAGAAATATGATTTGTATATTAGCATAACATTTGTAACATTAATCTCTGAATATGTAATAATAATTATATTAAAAAGTAATAATGATAATAATAATGTTAAAAATAATAAATAGGATGATTCTAATACTTAAGCTTGGTTTCCATAAAGTCGCTACTCTATCGCTACATTGTTTTTAGTGCAAACGTTGCACTACATAGCTGTCCCTGACGCAACCGGGAATGCTCGCTGATTCAACCGACCAATCATCATCGCTGAAAGCTGTCAGCGATAGCGTATAGCGATTGTGTGGAAACCAAGCTTTTGTTATATGTGAATCTTTAGCTACAGTACACATTACTGCACATTTCATGAAAATAATTGTGTATGATACATTTTGCAAGGCAGCTTTACATTACACAAATCAATTGGACAACAAAGAAAGCTAGTCCTGAATCTACCTCTGTTTAGAATAATCAGGACTATATACAGGATTATATTTCACACATCATACCTTTTCTTTCATCCACCCTCCCATTGATCCGGCACTAACACTTTCAATTATGGTTGCCGATTACAAGTTTCAAGTTTATTTTTTTACCAAACTTAAATTTATGTAGAGATACATAACCAGCATTCATCGGACGTAGTACCACTTGCTTCCCCATTCCCATGTAAGGATACATTTTAAACTTAATTTAGTCTATTTCGTGAATACTTACCTGGATAACCGACTAAAGTCTGCGTCTTCGCTAGGAAATCAGCTCTGAAAATGAGACGAACAAACAAATGCGAATCCGTGCTGCGCAACGGACGCGTGCGATGACAGAATTGCTTGAAAAGACTGCTAGTAATTTCAAAGGCTAGAGTGTATCCAACTTCGAACAACGTCGAAAAGGGAATGAGGACGTTTGTTAGGGAGACGGTTCGCACGTGGCGCCTTGGGTCGGACTGTTCCATTTTTTTTCGAAGGGGTGTTCCGTTTTGGGAGCAATGGCAATTAGTCGGTTATCCAGGTAAGTATCTCACTCATAGACTACCAACATTACGATTGATTTGTGTATTTTACAGGGTACTATGTTGGAAGATGTATAGCAGTAGATAATGATGCTGGCAGCGACACTTCACAGATAATTTACAG